CGAGATCAACCTGATGGATGAGCTGACCCCTCAGGGGTATTACTCAATATTATGCCTTTGTGGAGGAGCGTCAGAAGGTCCACTGCCTCAACACCCCTCTTCTCCCAAGGTACTCCCCCTCCCTCCCTCCCTCCCTCCCTCCCTCCCTCCCTCCCTTCTGGGGGTCCTGTTCGTAGGGGACCAGATGTGCGGCCTCGCATTATATTCCTCTCGCCGACTTGATTCGTTCCTACCTCGCGTCGTTCCTCCCTTCCCTCATGCAGCTCGAGATCAATCAGTCCATCATCTTTTGTAACTCTGTCAATCGCGTCGAGCTTCTTGCCAAGAAGATTACCGAGCTCGGCTACTCTTGTTTCTATATCCATGCGAAAATGCAACAGGTGCGGTTCCTGGCAGGGTCTTCCTTGCGTCACCCCTTCCCTCCGTCCTCCCTCCCTCCCTCACTTCCTCTCTTTCTAGTGTGAAATAATGGCATGGCTTGTGTCCCTGATGCAGCACCCTCATTGCTCTTTATCGCTTTGTTTCTCCCGTTGTGACGCCCCTTTCTCCGGACTTCCTCCCCTTCAGTCCCACCGCAACCGCGTCTTCCACGAATTCCGGAACGGGGGCACGCGCCACCTTGTCTCTTCAGGTAGGGAAGGAGGGAGGGACAGAAGGCAGGGTCTTGGGGAAACGACCCGCGTCCGGTTTGGTACTATATTCCTATTGCTTCTCATTTTTCCCTCCCTTTCTCTGGTCCTATTCCCTCCCACTAGATCTGTTCACTCGTGGCATTGACATCCAGAGCGTAAACGTGGTTATTAATTTCGATTTTCCTAAGGTAAAAAGGAGAGTAAGCGTACTTGCGAGTCACTACACGGGAGAAGGGGACCTCTGGGAGTAGGAAGGACCCGAGTTATAGAGGATAAGGCCATGAAAGATATCATGAAAAATTATGTGCACAGAACGAAGATGAGAAGCGAAAGTATAAAAGAGAAGGAAGTCAGGCAGACGAGGAAGGGGCTAGGTGTAGCGGGGGCAAGGAGGAATTCATGACGCGTTTTGGTTTCATCGTCGTTAAGTTTTTTCCCGCCATTTCCGTCCTTCCCCAGACGGCAGAAACCTACCTGCACCGCATCGGCCGCTCCGGACGCTTCGGTCACCTGGGCCTGGCCATCAATCTGATCACCTACGACGACCGCTTCAATTTGTTTAGAATCGAACAGGTGCGCCTTCCCTCTCTTTTCCTCCCTCCCGAACCCGTCCTTGCCTTCAATTTCACCCACGGCCGTCAGCCTCCTCTCTTGATCCTGGTTTTTCCTGTCGATAAAGCGCGCATGTTGGGACTCATGCTCGTCCTCTCTCTCTCTCTTTCTCTCGCCTGCTCAGGAACTCGGCACGGAGATCAAACCGATCCCTCGCGACATTGACCGCTCCTTATACTGCGTTTGAGGCCCTGGTGTAGGGGAGGAATGGGGGCAGGAAGCCAGTGTGTGGAAGTAAGAAAGGGAGCGAAAGAGGGAAAGGGGATGAGGGAGGGAAGAGGGAGACGGACCATGTGTTGAGAGAACAGGCTACGTATACACTAGCCATGCCCATTTGCATGCAAGGAAGGATGATTGGGGGAGAAAAGAGGAGGAAGGACGTTGGGAGGAGGAGAGGAGGGAAAGGGAAGGAGCAATAGCGCGAACGTCCCAGCCACTAAAGAGGGAAGCTGGAGGGAAGGAAAAAAACGACTCCGAGCGTCCTAAAGGGGATGGAGGGAGTGTGAGAGAGAAGGCGAGCAAGGACAGCAAAAGAGGGGAGGAGGTGCCGACTATTTTTTAGGCCAACCTGGAGGGTCGGGGGGTACGAGGGTAACGGGCGAGTAGAGTCGGAGGAAGAGAAGACCGGGCAAGGGGGAGGTAGGGGGAAGCTGCCGGCAGTGTCTTTGTTCCCGGGAGGGCAAAGGATTTAAAAATGGAGAGGGGCATGCAAAGCTAGCCAGGGCCTCTCATGTGTGCGGGAAGGACGACAGTAAAGAGTGGGGATGGCGAGGGGGAAGTGCTCAGTTGAGGGAGATGGGCACCCAAAGAGGGAGACACGGTCCTGCTTCTTGCACAATGATCGCTGAAGAAGCATGGAGGAAAATGTTGTAGGGTAGTAAATCCGTTGAGGGTTGAGGTTCGGAGGAATTTTCATATGAGGAAGGAAGATGGGGAGGAGTGAGAGACTGGAGGCGGCCGTCAGGATCGCTGTGGGGGGGCCGGGGGGTGATGGACACAAGGACGGAGTCAGCCTCGCTCATATCACGGGAGGATGTGCCGGAAGAGAGAAAGGGAAGCAGGAATGGAGAAAGGAGCCTTGGTGGGTAGCGAGCGACAGGGGGAGGGGTGGGAGGAGTGACAAGCAGGATTGAGACGTGGGGATGGAAGGCGTGACAAGTCTGTAGGAATAAGGACACTGCAGTCGCTTGGGGAGAGTGGTGGGGAGAAAAGAAAGAGAGGGATGGAGATCAAGAAGCGAAGCAGAAACGGTGCAGCATATTGGAAGAGGACGGAGGGGTTTGTATACTTGGTAGCAATTTTCTGCCACAGGCGACCCACACGTGCGACTCCGAGAGAAGGGAGGAGAACGGAGAAAGGACAGAGGGGGATCTCAAGAAAAAGCACGATGGGTTGGAAAGGTTATGGCTGGATGAGGGCGGAATCATTGTCGTCTCAAAATAATTGAGCGAGAATTTGCTAGCGGCGAAGTAGCGCTGGACTCCTTTTACGGCAAAGATATGGAGCGGAGGTCAGATGAAGAAGGGAGTGCGCCAGGATAAAAAGAGGGGAAAACAGGGAAAAAAAGAAATTGTGTCAGGCGGTACATAATTGTTTATGGAAGCGGCTATCCACTTTTTTCAATGTTGTTAAAGTTTTGAGGAAATGGTGAGCTTGGAATCCATCAAATTGAGGTCGAAGAGAATCAGATGAGGATTCAGGTCCCATATCTGATATGCATTACAGAGGAAGAAGGAGGCACTGCTGTGCGTGGTCTCCGCTTGGTTCGGATATTGCACCTAGGTGTTCATCCCTTCACAAAAGATACTCTCCCTTAAAAAAAGCCAGTGTATTCTAGCAAGAAAAAAACAATGACAGAAAAATCCAAGGAACCTTTAAGAGCCTACAAAGCCATGAGGCTGGCTCTGGTCTGTACAAGGAATGTAGAAATCCTCTCCCAAACCAAAATTTCTTGATACAAGTATAAATAGTGATGGCCTGTTCATCTTTCTTGTCTAAGGTAAGACGTCGATAGCTTACTCCAAGCTTGCTATACACTCTTATGTTTGTCATCTATCACCGAAAGGCGCTTGCTCTACTGACAAATAAACTTTAGGTAAGGAGGAGCCACGCAACAAATTCTGCTGCCGTTTAAGTGACCAAATCTGTTCGTAGAGAGACGCTAAGGGACTTTAAAGTGACGCCCATCTCCCTTGTTGCTGATCCCGTTGTCTTCGCAAGTTTATAAATATCAACGGCACCGTCACACAGCCAACCCACTTTGAATAATTATTATACACACTGTGTACTTTTCCGCGCGGTGCACGTTTCAGTGTTCATTCATTTTTTTGGGCTTCGGCTGAGGAGTACAGCGAAACCGAAGTCATGCGCTCAGGCAAGCGCTCGGTAAGATAGATAAGGAGATAGAAACAAGGACACGTACTGCATTGCCAAGAGATATGAAGAGACAAAAGTCGAGATATGTGCTCGTCCGCGCACACGTATAGCCACACGTAAACACAAAAGACTCATCCTCTCTCGCATGTTAGATATATATGTTTCTATACGTGTGTATGTTCACACACGGACACAAACATGGACACAAGAGAGCTACACAGACACACAGACACAGATTGGAAAAATAAAGAGACAGATAGATAGACACGTAGGTAGGCAGAAGGCAGACACACACGCACATATACAATAGATATCTTACAGTAGATATGTCAGTTCACACGCACAGGTACGGGAACGCATGTATACATACACGCAGGTGGCCAGAGAAATCCAAGAGCCCTTCATAACGATAAGAGCTCCTGAGCAAAAAAAGATTCCGAGAAAGGCGGCACTACAATAACATTACCAAATGAGGCCGCTTACATGGACGCAAATGCGTTCTGTTCTGTGAAATAATGTTGTCATCATTGTGAACATTAGGCCTTTGAACTGGACAAACATGGGATTGTGTCCGACAGATATACATCTTTAACTTTGTAGTTGTATGTAGTCATATCCGTTGTGGGCGACTAAGTAAATATTTTGTAACTTCGAGTACAGTACGCGCTCATACTGTCAAATTCAAAAATCTGTTAGGTGACATTTCTATACCTTGTGGTCAGATCGGAAAGAGCATGACGCATGTATGGGGGGGAAATCGGAGTAAGAAGGGAATAAAATATTAAGAAATAAGCGAAGGCCTATGTGCATGAAGATCTCCTGTGGATAATTTTCATCGCACACTCCATTTTCCATTTTACCTACTAAGCTTGCAGGTTGTATGCTTTTATTAGACTGAAAGCAACAAGGCTTTCATTTATGCGAACGTAGATTTCTATGAATCATAGTGTGGTGTAACAAATTTTATAGGATTTGCAAGATGAACAGCCGAACTAGACAGCAAGTTGTCGACTACATGATAAGCAACAAGAACTACCCACTCTTGGGGAATAGTCAAAACTTGCAAAAGAATTTGTAGCCTTGATTGTTTGGCCGAAATTCCAACAATGGAGCAGAATATGGTGAGTACCACCGAAGCTTTGTAATTTTCAAGAAGGAAAGAAAGAGAAATTGCACATTATCGTCTATTGCTGACGTCCTCTCCTTTACAATAAAACCTATAATGGGCAATGTCCATGAATACTCCTTGATTAATACGTAGAAGTTCTGAATCCTGTCCCAGACAGAATTGTAACATTCTATCTGACGTTCACATTCAAGGAATTTCTTTCTTATCAGGCGAAAATATACAACGGTAGTATTGTCAAGTAGTCAATTTATCAAATCACATCCCTTTCTACCCCTAATGGAGTTGTTGCATTTTGGTTAATAGGAATGTGTAAGGATCGACACGGCGACATAGTCGTAGCATGCGTCTGACCTCCGCTTTATTTAACCTCAGAGATGGATAAGAGGCCCTGCTCTCAGGAAGGAGACATGGACTATGAAGAAGAAAAAGCACATCTCCGAAAAAAAATTGAGAGGTCCTGCAGATTGTTCTCCAAGCATAGGATTCGCTGAAGGTGCACAAATCATGCCCTCATGACGAAATGAGGAGAACAAAGGCGGTAAATGAAAAGAGGAAAATTGACGCTAAGGCTAGTGCTTATGGTGACTCCAGTGACATTTTTGGCAATCTAGCGTAGCTCTTTTTTACCTTGTTGCTTACCTTCAAAATTCCAGAGTCTCCTTCGAAGAGGCGAGATCAGGAAGAGAAATCGAAAACGAAGACATATGATGAGCATTTTTGGGCTGGCGCCTCATTTAGGAAATCATTCCTAATTCCTCATATCCTTGCTGGCTTGAATACCTATTTACTTGTTCTCTTTCCGAAAAATATAGAATGTAGCTGCTTAACTGGTCATTATCTCGTCCCTTCCCGATTACAATGTCCACGACTGGGGGTCATTGCCCTCCCACATGCTTTCCTGCCGGATATCATATATAAAGCCCAAACCAAACAACTAATCGTTGCAACCACATGATGACAGTTCTCATCAGGGGAGCGAAGTTCAAGTCGTCCATGAAGACTTGTATTCAAACCTAACATCCCGCAACGGTTGTCCAACCGGTGACGCCGTTGCACAATCTGGGGCTTAAATCTGATATGGAGAAGAATCTTCCCATCCAAACAGCCACCGCCATGTCATAAATCTCTAGATGCTCATCTTGGCCACTCATCGGCAGATCACGAAAAACTATTTCCGACCTCATGTAAAATCGTATATTAATCATTTTGTGCTGTATATCAGGTTGAAAGTGTCACACACTGACGCTCCCGTGGATCTGCCCAAGGATGGTCAGAAGCTCCTCTGAATGATGTGGAGAAGAATCTTCCAATCTCCCGTCAGCCATCGTTAAAGTCATAAGCCTGAGGAGGTGCACCTTGGCCATAGATTATAAGATCCAATGGCATGTTACCTTTTTGAAGACAATTTATTAAAATAATCTGTCTTCTGTTGGGATTGCGAGGTCACCCTCAAGCTTATGTGGACCTTCCTAGAGATCTGGTCGGACGCTCCTATGACTATCGCTCGGGAGAATTCAGCATCAAGCCGTGAATATTCACATGAGACAACAATTCAAGTATCACACGGAATGCCACATCTAAATACTTATGGTCTCTCCACTCCGCACATATCAATACTTGAAATAAGTCTTGAAGAGGGCTATAAGCTTTGCATCGTGATGACATCAAAAGCTACATAAGTTGTTGCTTTCTATCTACTATTTCGATCAATGCACCAGGCGAATATCTTGGAGAACAATGAATATTCGTTGCGAGATATCTTTCTAATTTGTATCGAGAACAATCTAGCCCCTCATGTCAAGCAGTAGACCTTCAAATGCGGTAGCTACTAGCCATATCTTTCTTTGCATTGTCATTCTACTTCCGATTTCGTATCTCATTATTCCTAATACACTGCTTATCGCTTCCCTTTCACAAGTCAACTCTCACATTTCAACCTCACTTGAGCAGCTCAAATGCATCGCGCTTGTCTATTGCTCGCCTTCCTTAGCGTGGCATGGCTTCCCAGCTTCTCCGGTCAACAATGTCCACGCTTCCAGCTCACCGCCAAGGTGCGGCCCAACAACAGGCGTGGGGTCTTGGCCGGTCGCGGTCGCGCGAGGATCCTCGTCACGATGCGCGGTCAGGGTCCTGCACGTGACGCTGCATTCAAGTTGGAGTTTCCCAACGGCTTGGCTGTCTTGCAGACGCGCACTCGTCCGTCCTCCAAAGCCGTCGCAGACCCGACGATTGTGCAGAACGGCGACGGATCAACGGCCATCTACTGGACCGATATGGCCTTCTACAAGACCAAATCCTTCAAGCGTACCTTCCAGGCCAAGGTGATCGTCGACGAATGCGCTCCAGATGTGCTGGCCGTCACAGCTCTTGCTTACCTTGTAAATACGACGGACATGACTCCCTACTGCACCGAGTCCTTGGCCGCGCCCGCTAGCGTGCACGTGCGGTACCCCCGCACCAAGAAAGCGGGTCTCGGGAAACAAGCATTAAAGGGTCATGCGACATGTGCGCCGACCCCTGCTCCGACAGTAAATCCCGCCACACCTTTTTCCCTGTATGCCCCCGGTCAGCGCGGCGTACCGAGTCGTCTGGCCCCTTTCGAGGATCGTCGATTGGTGGATCATATCCGACTGGATGAAGAGCAGGACATGATCCGCAAGGTGCCAGATGGCACACGGGCATTGCAGGCTTCGGCTTCAATTGCGACGCCTTCCGAGTGTTTCTCGTATTGTTCCCTGAATGGCGACGTGTCGGCGCCTTTCTTCTTCAGTTGGAATACGGTGACAAGCCAATGTTTCTGCTGCAGTGGCGATTGTACTTTGATACTGGATGGGAGCGTCGACACGTATCAAGCGGTGGTGGACGAAACGGCTGTGCCTACGAGTGCTCCTACTCCTGGGCAACCCACAGCAGCCCCTATGACAAGCGCTCCATCGTCCGCACCTACGGTCATGCCCACAGCAAGCCCGAGTGCAGAACCCACGACGCCTTCTCCTTCTACCTCGCCAGGAAATATCCTGGAATGCGTAGAATTTGAGTTTGTTAATGCTGATGGTATGGCCTATGTATTTAATAACTGCGGCCCCTTTACTACATGCAGCGAGGGGTCGATTGTTACCCCGACAGACTCTTTAGGTTTGCCACCACGAGTTTCTTGCGCGGTAGCTTGTGCTGAAGGAGGCTACTTCATGGCTAGTTTCAATCCGAGCGAGGGGAGCTGTAAATGTACGACCAAGGAGCAATACGAGGAGTCAGGTGTGATTTTTGCTGCTGGACAGGAACTTTACACGGTCGTTCCTGAGGAGAGGTCGATTCAACTCTCTGAGCAATGCTCAGTCGTTCCAACGACAAGCGCTCCATCGTCCACCCCCACGGCCATGCCGACGGCGAGCCCAAGCGCAGCAGCCACATCGTCTTCTCCTTCTACCTCGCCAGAAAATATCCTGGAATGCCAGGAAGTTACGTATATTGATGTTGATGGTGAAGTTTATGTATTTAATGAATGCGGCCCCTTTACTACATGCAGCGAGGGGTCGATTTTTACCCCGACAGACTCTTTAGGTTTGCCACCACACGTTTCTTGCGCGGTAGCTTGTACTGATGGAGGCTACTTCATGGCTAGTTTCAATCCGAGCGAGGGGAGCTGTAAATGTACGACCAAGGAGCAATACGAGGAGTCAGGTGTGATATTTGCTGGCGAACAGATTCTTCTCGCGCTCACTCCTGAGGGAAGGTTTATCCAACTTTCCGAGCAGTGTGGAGAAGCATCGGAAGGGGCGGAGCCAGAAGTGGTTGCAGAGGCCGTTTGAATTTATTCTATCGAGAGATTGGCATCGAAGTACACGCCAAAAGTTTGTCAACAACCATCATACGACATCAAGTCTCTACCAGTGGCGTTAACTACACCACAGACGAGTTCATCTTTTCGTCTGGAAGTCCAATAATTTCACGTCACGATCACTTCGATTGTTGACCCCTGTACTTTCTTTACAGTATACTGTCCATGGTACGGGTCTATATGAAGGTCTCTACGTCTCTGTCGTATTTCCTGTCATCGTGCTCCTGTCTTGTACTTAAAGTGGTATGGTGTTGTACTTGGGTTCGTCAATTATGTAAGCAACATTAATTTTCGGGCCCTTGATATGTCATGTCATAAAGACCGTCTTAATATATCCGCTGATGTCTGATAAGGGGATTTCTTCCGCTTGGGTGTACTGAATTAATACTATGATGTCCTGAGAAGTAGAAGGAATCTCAAGCATGTAAATCAACTTATCTGGAAGGCTCGCTACTTCATGCCTAAGAACCGCGTTAATTTAAGGTCAAGGGGATGGAATAAGCTGTATTCTTATTCGTAATGACCACACTTGGAAAGTCTGCATGCGTTCTTTTCTTCTTGTCAATGGCACAAGAGACGCAGAACGACAGCATACAAGATGATAGGAAAGAGATCAAAAACTTCCCATCATTTCATATACGTATGTCTATCCAAGTAACCGTCGTTGTCTGGCAAGGGCTATATGATGGCAGGACAATTCAATGAATAAAGGGAGAAAGGATCGAATGAAATAAAGGAAGAGGAATATAGTAAGGTGTAAAGAGGGCGGCTTGATACCTTTGAGGTAGCCCACTCTACTTCAGGGCACGCATCCTAGTGCCTCCCTTTCCCATGATTCCAGAGGTGTAGTACTTTCTTATCTGTCTTTTTACACCGCTATTCCTCTCTCTTGCCCCACTTGGTGTTCTTTGGGAGCTGACACAGAGTCAGCCGACTCTTAGACAGACTAAGCTCCGACAGAGTCCAAATATTGGCGTTCGTCTTATGCCTTCAAGGGTCATTTCGCTCAATCCTGTATTGTACGTGTCCCTTGTACCGCAAAAACTAGGTCGGTAACAGGCTTGCTTACCAGCTCTGATGGATACCTTTGTTGCCTCTATTTTGTCCTGAGAAGTGTGCAAATTCATTACGATTCTCTGCCTGCGTATAGAAACTGGTGTCGGGTCTCATCATCATGAGCGAAGAACTCGACACATCTTTGCAGACTGAGTATTGTATGCAGTGAGGAGAGGGACCTGGAAACCTAAGTGCTAGGAGCTGCCTGTAGCAGAGGGACCATAGTGATTGTAGACTATAAGTATAAAAACGCACAGGCAATGAAGCAAGAAAGAGTCATTCGAGCTATGCCCTTGAGCTGTAGCCGCACATCACACTAACAAAGTGACGCGTCTGATTTTCCCACAAGTGCAGGTCTTCCCTTCGTTTAATCTTGAGCACGCACTATTCGAGTGTTTGAGCAGCAGGTAAAAGCATCTGGCGCGAATGAAAGGCCAGTCTTAAGTAGATCTATCGAGAGGTCTTTACCAAGTCCAAGTCCGAGAGAAATACAATGGCCATAGGATATCATTTAGACTCTTCCGTAAGCGTATCCCAAGTCTAACAGTAGCGTAAACCCTGTTAATGTTATCCTTTAGACTCGTCCTCCTATAGCTCCTTTTCCATTTCCTCAAATGAAGCTTCCGCTCCGATCCACCCGTATGGAAATGAACTGCCCACTCTATTACACCCGTGTGGAAGAGCAGAGAGGAGGCGACGTCTACATGATCCAAACAGTTGGACTTGGGAATAGGAGGCACAGCGAACGACGCAGGAAGAATGGCCAGTTTCTCGTCCTGTTAACAACTTCCTCCTCCTCCTCCTTCTCTATCAGGACTTTTTATCAACCCTGAAACTAACCGTCCTCTGTCCTTTCCAGAGAATGACGGATGGAAAATAGCGGGATCGAGAGAGGGAAAGAAACTGGGCACCGTTGGTTTTTCTGAGTTTTTATCGGGCTACATGATCCACAGGTAATTTATCCTTTCACCAAACGGATCCTTCCCTGAGATTCCCCAAAATTGCTTGGATAACGAGCCACTGAAATGTCATTTTGTGATGATTCTCAAACATCCTTGCGCGCTCTAATTCTCCCACAGGTCGACCTTCAGTTCAGACATACAAGTCACCCCGAGGCCTCCTTCCCCACCCCCTTTTTTATCTCTCTGCCCCAGTCCTGAGCTCTTAAACTTTCCTCAAGTGTATTATCTACACAATTTGGTCTCTCTGAATCCATATCTTCGTCACATTTTCCCGTCTTCCGTCATTGCATTTTCTTATACTTATCCAGCCGTTCCAGAAGCCCCTGGCGGACCAAAATTAAAAACGACGGATGCAATAAGAGAGGTGGCAAACGACATTACGGATGACGAGAAGGATGGGTGGTAAAGAGGTCACAAAACAAACAAGAGATGAAAGCAGCAGGAGGGATGGGAAGCAAGGATTAGGGACGTGAGAGAGGGAAGGAGGGACGGAATGTCGAAGACACGGGTAAAAATGACAAGTCACGCACATTTAGTTTCTTAATCGAGACGCCGAAGTCCTCCACCTTGCTCCCTCCGACGTAGAAATGAGAGTGAGGAAGCACTGTGAGACCCATAGCCATGATGATGTCCCTCTTCCCCTACCATCATGGAGGAAAGAGCAGGGAGTAGATGAGGAACGAGGAATGAAGGAGAGAATATTTCTGAACCAATAGAGTCCCTGTCATGACTTATTGTGACGTTCCTGTCGCCAGACAGAGCAACTATTCACTTCCTCTCCCTCCCTCCCCTCCGTTACCGTCACATCCACATCGACAAAGTCGAAGTATTCTTCGTAAGCGTTTACAGTTTGTTGCCACGTTGGGGCAAAGCGCTTGCAGGCCTATCCCAGGACAAAGTAAGGGAGAAAGGGAGGGAGGAAGGAATTAGGGGTACAAGAATGAGGTGAGAATGGGAGGAGAGAGAGGAGCGGGGGGACCGCGTACCCGTACACTTGATTCTATATCATCGACAAAATACAGCATGCCACTAATATATATCTTCCATCAATGCCTATGGCTCTCCTCTCCTCGCCTTCCTCTTTCCTTTCCTGCCCTTACCCCCCCCTTGAGATATGGACAGGCCCTAGGCCCAAACCTTCTTTGTGGTCCTACTGTCTTCACTCCCCCCATCCTCCCTCCTTCCTCTTTTCCTACCGAGCACCAGGAAGCGTGGAACCGAAGCACGAGCGGTTTGGTCGTTCCGGACGTCTGGATGGCTGCCTCCAACTCCTCCAAAGTCGCAATGTCCTGCGAAGAAGGATATGACAAGGAGGGGTGGGCCAGATAAAAAGGAGCGACAAATGAGGCATGAGACAGTTATTATCGACGATTTCTTTCCAGAACGATCCTTGTGGTTTTTATATGGTTTGCCGTTCTCGACGCTGACACCGCCTCATCGCATCTGAAGCAGCTTGCATCCTTGTTCCTTTCTTTCATCAGTCAATCAAATACATTCTCTTCTCTAGTCAAGGCACATCTCCTCTCTTTCCACTGCTTGCCAACGCTCGTTCTCTAACTTCTTCCCACCCCCCCCGTTGCCCCCTTACTCCTATTAGGGCGTCCTCTTCGCCTCCCTTCTCCCCTGCAAAAAGCCGCAACACCCGTCTAGATCCGCAACCAAACCGCAGCGGCGTGTTCAATAACGGCTGTAGCTGATGCATCCGCAATGCAGTAGAACCTGGCGTAGCAATGCGCTGCGAAGAATATGAAAACCCCAAAAAAGCTTGACAGGTGGCTAATGATACTAATGCCCCCATTATAAGGCGCAGGAGGATGACTAGCCTTCTCCGGCCAGGCGGTGCCATGCCAGACCCGTGCACAGAATAACACTACGCAAAGCTATACGAATTTATGCATAGCGGGGGTAAAAAATCGAAAAGGACTGGTGAAAATGATGGAAGAAAATGTTGGCAGCATGTGGACGCATTATGTAAGCGATATGAGAAAGAGGCAACCCTGGTAGGAGTCGCGTCTACTTCCCTTGCGACAATGCCACCCATCAGCACTAGCGCTCCTTCAGCGGTCCTGCCTGCGTTTCGTGTGGACAACCAGGGGTAGATCCCAGGAATGGTGCGTCGTTCATTTCACAATGCTCGTCTTCTTTTTCAAGCACAAGCCTGTTGACCTGGAGGCGGTAACGGGTGAGACCTAGGCAGGAGGTTACGGCCGTGGCCCTCAAAACTCGGCCATCAAAACTACACGAGTCTCCAGCCTTCCTGCCCGCCCCTACCCACTGGGCCTTGCACGTAATTCTATTGTAGGGGGCCCGGTAGTGCCCGTGGAAGACGTGGGTCTATGTGCGGTGAAAGTGTTCATTCTTCCTCCGCTTGAAGGTCCTTATACGGCTGAGGTACCAGTGTCATTGCATGTATATTGAATGCGGGGGACTCATCGGCTCCCCGTACATCACTGAAACGTCAACAAAAATTGGTTATGCTTCAAATGTAGCAGAAGAAGAATGAAGCGCAGTTCACGGCAGCATTCGTTGGACCCGTCATTCTCTCACCCTCTCCCAAGCATCATACTGTTGGAGATTTGATGGTAAAACCACACTTCATGGACCAGAAGAATCCCTATGGTCGAATTGTAGCGTTACTAGACCCCGATATCCTGTGTACCGTTATACCCTTTCCCTTCTCATCCACATTTTCTCTCCTCTCTTTTCTTTGCTCCCGACTTCCCTATACCTCCTCCAGAGTGGCACCATGAGCTCGATCTCCAGACCTCCTCTGGTGGTGGCGGTGGATTTGGACGAGGTGCTTGGCTTGTTCGTGGAGACCCTTGCTCGCTTTCACAATGAGGTGTATGGAGGCTCCTTGACGGCGGGTAAGCATCCGGACGATAGGGGGTTGAGGAAAGTGTGACGACAGCCTACTGCCGCGCCAGGAAAGGGACAAGAACGGGGCGTGAAATGACGGATACCGGGACGCTGACGACTCACCGGGGCTAGAGGCGGCTGTCTAGATGGAATACCAAGACCTGAGTGTCCCCTTACGGGGCCCGAAAGCCAGCCCGTCCCACGTTCCTCACCCGTGGTACTCCCTTGAAGATCCGTGCCTAGAAAGCATCATCCTTTTCATTTTGTAGACTCGTGTCTCCCCCAGACGATTTCCACAGTTACGACTTTGTGCACGTGTGGGGGGGCACCCGGGAGGAGGCGAACGCGAAAGTGCTGGCCTTTTTCAAGTCCAGCCATTTCCAGGTGAGTAACCCTGGGTAGAAATTCTCAAAAAGGCGCGAAAGTGTTTTGAACGTGTGCCCCAGATGTTGATGACGCTCCCTTCATATACATGCAGGAGGATCTCCCCCCCATCCGTGACGCCTTCCCCGTGCTGAAGGCCCTCAAAGACGAGGGTGAATATCTGCAACCCTCCCTCCTTCCATCCCTCCTCTCTCTCCCTCCCTCCTTCCCTTCCACCCTTCCTCACTCTGACGTCCCTTCTTCCCCCCTCTTTCTCTTCCATCGATGCCGCCGGCCCCATGGCTTTTTACCTCCTTCTTTCGCTCCCTATGTTCATTGGTCTCCCTCCCCTCTATCTCCGTTTTCTCACTCCCTTTCCCTCCTCTCCCTCTCCCTCCCTTCAGGCGTCGACTTTCATGTGGTCACCTCCCGCCAGTTTTGCATCCAACGAGAGACAGAGGAGTGGGTGCAAAAGCATTATCCGGGTATCTTTACCGGCCTCCACTACGGCAACCACTACTCGGGTACGGTCCCCCCTTCTTCCCTCCGTCCCACCCTTCCTCCCTTGCCCCCTACTCTCACTTGCTGTATTCAGGAGGCAATGTTATCTCATTACGTCTAATCTTCTACTCTTGACCCTCCCTCCCTCCCTCCCTCCCTCCCTCCTCAGCCACTGGACCCCAACGCTCTAAAGGGGACATGTGCCAGGCCATCAAGGCTCAGCTCCTGGTTGACGACTCCCTCCGATATGCCCACCAAGTCGCTCAAGACGCTGGCATTCCAGTCCTCCTCTTTGGTGCGTGGCACTTGCGTCGGGGGGCAGCGTCCGTAGGGATCCCTCCCAGACTCGGAGCCGTCCATGTCCTTGGTCTCTCCACCATTCGTTCCTTCCCCACGAACTTTATTTTTCACCTCTCTCTCCCACCCTCCTCTTTTCTGTGTCCCTTTTGATCCCTGTCGTCGCTCCTCCGTCCCTCCCTCGGTCCCCGCATGGCTCAGGAGACTATGCTTGGAATCAAGCGGACCCGTCTCTTCCTCCCTCCTCCCTGCCTCCGTCCATCACCCGTGTCACGCGGTGGGAGGATGTCCGCGTGCACATCGAGGCATTGCTGGCCAGCCATCGGCAGCAACATAGAGAGAGAGGTGGTGGTGAGACGTAAGAAATGTGGAAAAGAGGGAATAAGCCAAGATGAAGAGGAATCAGAATGGAGGAGGAGATGTGAGTATTCAAGGAACTCAGCAAGGATTTTAAAAGTTTTTCTATCTTTATTCACAGCAGTATTGAATCAAAGTAGTCTTTAATCGCAAAAGTCAAGCCATTCAAGCGGAAGCTGCGACTCGTGATTTATCATGTATTTTCTTTTGATATCATTTTCTCAAAATAACTAATAAACTTAGTGTTTGTACTCAAATTCCACAACAGCAAGAAACTCCTGAGTAAACCAAGCTCTAGCAAACGCCATCATTTCCGAAGAACAAGACAATTTCTAACAGCCTGCCATGGTAGGCCCCCTCTATTCCTTTTCAGGGTCCTCGGCAACGACCCGTCGTCCGGTGCTTTCCATGTTTGCGGACGGCCATGCAAATTAAACATGAGCAGTATACGTTCTATACCGACATACAGATATCCTCCTAAAAGTAAAGTGTACGCATACAGGATCTAAGTGCACTCCCTTTTTTTAAATCGCTCGAAAGCTCAAGGATAAGCTGTGGATACCCGGGTAAGGCAACATGACCATGGCCGCAGGACGCCTTCCTATTCTCGGGAAAAGTCCGCATTTTGTGCCCCACTGCGGATGGTTGAAGGAAATGCCACCTTGGGAAGGGCTTGGATTCCTGAGGCATGTCTTATTAGTTCTCTGTGTTCATGGAAAATCACTGCGATTTAGATCACGGGTCAGGAATCACTTGGGAGCCCCCCTCTCCATAATCCAGGAATAACCTTTATGCCGGCACTCGAATGCGCTTACCTTCGACATGTCTAGTATCTTTTAGGCACAAACACTCGTTACAAAAATCTATTTGAACATTTGAATTCTCTGATTCCTCCTCTTGGCAGGAGGAAGCCAGACTTTTAAAAGGAAACCTCCCAATGTTCGCAAACTTTGCTGCCAAGACACCATAAACAAGTACGAGCGATCAAGCGAGCAGCAGGCCGTTAGAATGGACGAGGCTTGTTCCCTTTTCCGACAAGGCGTCACGTCAGTTTTTAAGCAGGTACCAAAGGAAGGAGGGCCTTGAGGAGAAAGGGAAGGAGAGGGAAGGGAAGGGCAGGTGGGCCCACTTTGATTTGAACAATGTTTGCCTCTGCGCGCGACAGGATTTCTCTAGTCCACTGGCTGTCATGTCAGTGTGGAAAGACAATCTTCGGGCCAGGTCGTAGGACTCGAGGCAAAGGATCCCCATGGGGTACTTGCCATCCTCGCTTTAACCGCCTCCCCCCATCCCATCTCCCCTTCCCTTCCTTCCTGTATCCCAGTGGATGGTTCTCCACCTTGCCGTGACCAATAATTGGGGTGGCGGCGACAGCTACCGAAAAGCCACCTTGCTCTTGGAGGAAACCTTGCGCCTTTTCGTCCCTCCCCCCCTCGCTCGAACCGCCCACCGACCCAAGAAACTCCCCACGCCTGAGGAACTCGAGGAAAAATTGGGGGACTACATGGAGGAGGTGCGTGGACGCGTGAGGACCGTGGCCTGAGTCTGCGGACTTTGTCCCTGGTGGAGGACCATAAGGGAGGAGACACTCGGAGGTGGATGCCAGCCCCCACGTCTGTTTCCCCCCCTTTCGATATGCCGATAGCGGGAGGGCAAGTAGCCTGTCTCTCACGCTTGGTTTTTCGTTGAATTCCCTCTTTTCCTTCGAATGCACAGCAATTTGGAACGCTGGTGGAGGACGGGAGCTTGGAAGAAGTGAGTGCCTGGGTGTGTAACCTCTGGGAGGAGTGCAAGGAGGGAAGGAGGGAGGGGGTGACGAAGGTGTGCGCGCAGGAGGCCGCCGTGCTGAGGCTGCAGCAGCGCTGGAGTGAGGTGAGCAGGGAGGCGAGCCGGATGGAGGAGGACGTGAGGAGGAGTCAGGAGGGGGAGGAAGAGTTGCGGGACGAAGAGGAGGAGGGAGGAGGAATCGGGGGCCAGGCGAGTGGGGAGGAAGACGTAAGGGGGATGGAAGCGGAGGGAGGTGGTGAGGACGCGGGCAGCATGGAGAACGGGGCAGGGGACGCACATGCTGGAGGGACGGAGGTGGAGGAGGAGGAGGAGGAGGGTTGGACAGCGGTCAAACCGAAGAAAAAGGCGCCCAATCCCCGGCAGCGTCGGAGAGAGCCCGGGTTATTCGGATAAAGTGGGGAAGAATGGAGTTCTTGGGAGGCTTGGGGGGCTTTGGTGCTCAGGGCTTGGATTAGGGCGGATAATGGCGGAGATGGGAACGGGAACGGCATGCGAGTCGGGAAAAAAGGGGTGGAGGCACAGACCTAGTCAGGGTTCGAGAGTGACGAGGAAGGCGATGGAGGGAGGGAGGAAAAGGCGGGAAGAATGATCGGAAAGTATCGATTGTTTTTGTGTCGTGCGAAGGACCTTGGAGTGACCGTGTGCTCATTAGGATTGAGCTTTTTTTAAAAGGAAGACAAGCGACTATTGAGCCCAAACCAGAGTGAATTTTGCATTTCTTTCCATACAGTGGACGTCACTTTCTTTTGGTACGATCCTACAATGCTTCGATAACCATTTACAAAGATCAAATCGTGTGCTATTCACTGTACTTCGTCGAAAAATGCATCTTGATCCTTTCCTGAACATTGATTTATAATTATAATTTTTGTCACCAGAGATAGAAGAAAAATGTAAGTGTACTGAGAGACATGCAGATATGCACAGCAGATGCTTTCGTCGGGAAATTTCAAAAATTTGCCCCTTGTCTCACTTTCCAGGCCGTCGAGGGATGAGAGGTATCTTCCCTTCCATAGACACGCTTGTAGTCTGCAAGTAGCTCTTATACGACATGACCTGAAAGAAGTCGGGAAGGTCATCGAAGAGCTCGGAGTACGGCATGAATTCCATCGGCTCCTGTACACCGCAAATTTTGGCCATTTCTTGCCCGTCTGCGGGAAGAAGCAGAAACAAAAAGGGACCAGAAGGAAAGGAGGGAGGGATGACAGGCGTCGGGAAGCAAAGTTTACTCGGTCCCTTTCTCTGCAAATTTCCCGCCTTCGTTTCTCCTTACCAAGATTGAGCCTGACCCCAAAGATCTCCAAGTCATGGTCTTCTAGATCCCATCCTAAAGGATGCTGACACTGGGAGGAAGACAGGGAGAGTCATGAAAGGGGAGAGGGAGGGAGGGAGGGGGGGAAACAGTACAGAGTGTCCCCGAGGCTGCAAGTAGAACGATCATGAATAGCAGTGGACAGGAAAAAAGGAAGGAAGGATGCGATAGACACAGAGGGGTGTACCTTGCGGGCCATGTCCTCAAGCCCGTAAAAGGCGACACCGAGGAGGAGGGAGGCGAAGAGAAGGACGTCATTTTCCGCCCAGTTTTGCGTGCGGGAGGTGTAGATGAAAGGGGCTCCGAAGACGAAGATGAAGGTGAGGAGATTGACGACATGGGTGTACGGGAAAGGAATGCGGAGGTTTTCGACCTGTGAACGACAAGGTAAGACGGATGAGGAGAAGGAAGGGAAGGACAGGGAGAGATGAGGATGAGATTTCAGCAGTAGTGCGCTTACCCCGTCCGTCCAATCCCTCTCCCTCTTCGTCGTTTCCTGCCCGTCCTTTGCTCCCACTGTAACGTTTCTTCCTCTCTTTCCCTCATCTCTTCGGCTTTTTGACACCATCCACAGTGCTTCAACTTAGCTGATTGACCCTCTCTGTCTCGTCTTCTGCCCTCTTACCCGGAGCATTCCATTCCAGCCAGCAAGGACCTCCTGAAATTTGTTGTCTACATGGAAGAGAATGACAAAGAAGGAAGCGATAAAGCTATCGGGAAAGGGAAAAGGGGAGATATGCATAACAGTGATAGTTTGCAGCAGACAAAAGGATTCCGACCCAGAAGTATAATCAGTAAACCCGGCAATACCTCCTGCGCAGGACGAGAGGGAAAAGAACAAGAGAGAAAGGAGAAGGGCGGTTGGGGAATGAAGGGAAGCCTACCAATATTGATCCTGATGGAGGTTTCTTTTGATAGACCCAGGATACGGTAGGCCAACAGGTTCATCTCAGTGATCAAATAGACTGGGCGGGAATTCACCGGCCTGAGAAAAAGGAGCCAAAGGAGGGAAGGAATGTCAAGGCACATTAGGAATCATGAAAAGTTGATAAGAATAAAGGGTCGAAGGTAAATTCATCATAGAATATGTAGCGGAGAGCCCTCTCAGCTTTTCGGCTCCTCGCTCTTTCTTTTCCCTCCCCCCCCCCCCCTACATGCGACGGAATTGTTGTACTTCCTCCTCTGTCAGCAAGTCCACAAGCCGAGGTCGAGTAGGATCTAGGACGAAGGTGTCCTTGTTGAATCTAGGCAGACAGAAATAAGGATAAAGACACGGCAAGAAAACAATTGTTAGAACGAAGTCCACTGAATCAGAGGAATGGAGTAGGATGATCTCTGGAATGACGCGGGAGAGCAAGGTAGAGAGCTTTGTTCTGGTGGTGATTATCATCTTGATTTTGGTGATTCGATTGATAATAATAAATCAACCTATAATTCATTCTGTGTCGTTTATTAGGGGTCTTATTCAGGGACTAACTAGATGGGACTAGAGTAAATTCCCCTTAAGACAGAGTGGATGAGTTGGATTAAGAGAAGGCAGGGAGACGACTCTTTTCCAAAAAAGAAATAGACGGTGTGGGGGATACGGATGGAAACTGCGAAAGCGACGTGGGATCCAGGATATGAGGAAGGAGTGAGAGGTGGATCAGAGGGAGGAAATAGGGGGGAGGCGGGGAAGAGGGAGATCACGAGAAAAAGTTGCTACGCACTTTGTCTTGGCGAGTTTTGAGGCGGGGCAGAAGCCGTCTTTGGCCTCCCGGGCGCTTTGCCTGGCGCACGAGCGGAAAGTTGAGGGGCAACATAGGACGGAGAAGAGGAGAATAAGAGAAAGGGGGAGGGAGGGCAAGGAGAGGAAGTTCATGCGAGTTAGGAGCATGCACCCTGAAGGGCCGGGACGAGCTTTTTCATGCTTGGCTCCGCCGCCTTCTCCCTTCCCCCCCCCCCCCCCCCCCCCCCAACCTCCTTTCCCTTTGTCCATCACTCCTGGTCTTCCCTCTGACCTGATGAACGCGTAAAGAATGTTACACTTGCGCCTAAAATCTTCAGCCAGCTCTACCAGGATCTCTCTTGTCTCGAGCGTCTCGTCTCTGAGGACCATCGATGTTAAAGGTAAGAAATGAAAAAAGGTAACAAGGGGGAAAACATAAAGAAGACTAGGTATATGATTGGAAGAAATTTAAAAAGACGCAAGGAAACGGAAAACAGTAGAGATGGAGGAAAAGGCTGATTTAGTACCGAGGATCATTGATGTACATGTCCATCATGGCTGTTCGCAAGTTGTTGACCACACGGGCGATGAATTTACGGCCCTCGATGTAGGAATCATAGGCGCTGGAAGGAGGGAGCGAGGGACAAAGCAAAAGAGGAGAGGGGTGAGTTGTGCACGAAAAAGGGTAACTTCAGATTTTGTCATAAGACACATCATGTCCCTACCCTGCATCAAGATGCAGCCCTCCCTCCATCTTTGCCTTTTCCTCCTCCTCCCTCTCACCGATTCGTTCGAAACACTGTGATAAAGCCCAGGACCGATCCCAGGATGGTGTGAATGGTGGAGATCCGAGGGTTGACTTGGTACGTGACGTCAAAGACAGACTGGAGAACTTTGATAAAGATGATCACGAGGACGCCCAAAAGAATCTGGAAGAAAGCAAGTGGAAGGTGAGGAGCGGCGATGAAACAAAAGCTGCAAGAGGGTCATGGTGACGGACATCAATAGTGGATAAATCGGAGAGAAGCAGGGAGAAAGGGAGTAGGAGGGGCACCTGAGGCCATATGTTCTCAAGGACGGTGCCCTTGAAGTAGAAAAGGATTCGAATGAAAGACCAGGGCCTCGTCGTGCTGCGGGGTAGGGAGTGGGCAAAACAAAGCGGCATTGATGGGTTAGCAACAGTGCCGGAGAGTGGACGCTCAGATAAGGGCAAATGAGTCCCGCAAGATATCTTAAATCGTAAGAAATGAGGCAGAGGAGTCTCCGACAGGAAAGGGGAGAACAGGAGACAAAGACGCTTACGAAGGTCTGTCCAGTGCTGGCACCCTCGGTTCAAAGGCGAGAAAAATGCAGAGCAGCCGACGCACACGCATAACTTACATGCACGAGCGCTGCTGATCCTTTCTTGGGTAGGGCTGAGGAATCCGATACGCGTGAAGCTCGCTCAACACATGACACTCCCGTCGAGGCACCTTGGGGTTGACCAACTGGCTCACGGTGGCTGTGCGGGAGAGGTGCCGGCCACCTGTCCCACTCTCCCAAGACTGGAGAGATTTGTCCGAAATACTTCTGTTCCGTGCTTTCAACTCCTCTCCACCCTCTGGCTGCTGCTCCTGTGACTGAATTCGCTTTTCGTGTGACTCTTGTAGTCCGTGCTCCGATTGCATTAAGATGCTTCTTTTTTGGGCGCAGGTGGGGCTTCCAGACCCGCTTCGAATCAAAGCTAGGGCTGTTTGATCTCTTTGAATTTGCAAGTGCCCTTGGTCATGGTCTTCGGCACCTCGTTGTTGGACGAGGGGCCCGGTTTGAATAGGAATTAGCGGGTGAAGTACAGGGTTAGGGGAGAGAGAAACGTTGCCAGACCCACGTGCTGACTCGATGCCCTCGACAGCTTCTTTACTTCTAACATCGTGTGTCCCATCCTTTGAATTTTCGGGGTATGTATTCTGAAGGTCGATGTCCATCTGTATACTTACGTGGGCATAAAGGATGGAGGAACATGGATGTGAAGGATATGATTTGAAAAAGTGGAAAAAAAAAT